ATAAGCTTGTTTAGTTTGAATACCATTTTTTATTTTTCCTAATATAAAAGAAAATTTCTCCGATATCAGTTTTAACTGAATGGCATAGCAGGATTAGATTTTAGCGTTAACAGCTTTCCAATAACTAAATTTTCTCCTGCCATTAATTAAACGGAGACATTAGAATACGAGTTTATTTTATCTCTAACGTTAAAAACTGCTGTTACGCTTTTAACCAGCCGATAGCTTATTGCAGAGTTTAACGGAGGGATGTGAATACGGCTGCTGATGATTATATCTTATCTAGGTTTTGAAAGAGTTTTGTCCAAGAGAAAAATTAATAAACAAGTTGGAGAAGTTCTGATTTAGGCTAGTAAAATCATTAAGGAATAACGAGTGGGTATCTGAATCGGAAACTAAAATAAATTTACGAACGTTGTTTTTAATGTTTTCAGAAATCCTAACGGTGACAAAGGAATCGTAACTATTAAAATTTGTAACAACAAGATCTTTAAGATTTTCTTTCAATATTATTAAATTTTTAATATTATTAAACTTTTAATATTATTAAATTGTTTTTTTTTTAATTATTAATAAAAATATTAAATGTTAAATTGCTACAATTAATGATTTTAAATTTTAAACTTATAAATGATGGTTACACATTATTTAATACACAGGTGCACATCAACAGCCCTAATGAATCGGCTATTCATTCTATTTCCCTAATGAGGGTACAGCTCTAAACCTCAGTTTTATGGTACTGAGGGCTGCTGGTACTCAGATTTGCTGAACTCTGTGGTAGCTCTCAGAGACTGACTCCATCAACAGCTGTAAAGTATCAGAGCACTAACAGTGCCATGTTGGATGGTGCCCTTGTTTTTACTTTTCAAGACCACATTTGTAGCCCTTTGTAAGGACTTAGGGTTTATTAATAGTAATGAGGTAATTGTTTGGACTATTAGACAGTGTACTGAGTACAATCTGTGGTTTGAGTTTAACAAAATTCTTTAACAAATCTAAAATTGACTAAAGTACCAAAAACTATAAAATACAAAAAAGCCATTGTGATCACCGAGTTCTCTAAATCTATTATTCACTAATTTTCATGGTCTTAGAAGTAACTTTTCTCCTGTTGAGTCTTATCTCTTGCAAAGTTCACCAGACCTACTTGCTTTTTGTGAGACTAATTTGAGTACAGCTGTCTCCTTTTCTGATCTTAGTGTTGATGGTTTTGCCTAATTTTGCGATCTTAGTGTTGATGGTTCTGCCTAATTTTGTGATCTTAGTGTTATGACCTTAGTGTTGATCTTCTTTTAATTCTTAAAGACTGAATTATTGCATGCTTAGCCTGAACATTTACATTAGTAAAATCTCACCCATTTGTCAGGAAACTAGGTTTGAATCCATAGACTACTTTTAAATGCTTTCATTTAGCAACACATCACTCTATCACCTTTCTCTTTGTTCTATATCGCTCTCCTTCATCTCAAGACTACACACTTTTTGATGTTATTTATGATTAAATTGACCAAGCTCTCACTCTCTTTATCCTTCAGCCAATATTGTTGCTATTGGTGAATTTAATGCTCATCACACTGAATGGCTTGGCTCTAGTGTCAGTGATTTTGCAGGCATTAAGGTTTACAACTTTTGTCTGGCTAATACAAATAGTCAACTTTCCGACTGGTTTTCCAGGCAATCCGAATCAATCACCTTCTCTACTCAACTAATGTCTTGTTCTGATCCTAGTAAGTACTCTTTTTTTACACATTTACCTTTAGGGGCTTCTGATCACGGTTTGATCACTCTAAAACTATTATCTCATTCTTCTTTATCATCAGAACCCCCCTATCATCGTACTTTATTTAACTACCTTAAAGCTGACTGAAACTCTTTCCATGATTTTCTTCATGATGGCCCTTGAGTAGAAATCTTTAGCCTTCCTGCTGATAAATGTGCTCCTTATGCAACTTCTTGGATTTAGACTGGCATGGAATCTTTTATTCCCTATCGACGAGTTCAAGTAAAGCTTCGCTCTTCACTATGATTTCCTCTGATAGTGCTGTTGCAATTTCTAATCATAACTATTACATCCATAACTATTACCAAAACAATTCTCCAAAAAACAGACGTCTGATTTTTGGAGAATCTTTAATAAAGTGTCTATAATAAAGACAAATCTGTTATTCCACCCTGTTACATAGTTTAGATTTTGTTACCTCGCCTAAAAAAAAAGCTGAACTCTTTTCTAAGAACTTTTCGTGAATCTCATCTTTTGATTCCACTTATCAGATCCTACCTGATATAGCTGGCAAACAGGTTGATCTATTGCTTGATATTTCTTAGGGTCTAAAGAATCCTTCCTTACCAATCGTAGTATAAATGTTGTCCTCGATAGACAGCACTTGTTATTATTTCCTGTAACTTCAGAGGTTTCTCAAGGATCTATTCTTGGCCCTATACTTTTTTTAATTTAAATTACTCCCAGAAATTCTCACATCTAAGATGACATTGTTTGCTGATGATACTACAATTTATTTATGTCTTGATAAAAAGCCAAAACTCTCTAATTGCTTGGAGAGGGCATTTAAGCTTGAAAAGGATCTCATTTCTGCTATAGAATAAGGGTTTTCAGTGGCTGGTGAACTTTAATTCAGATAAAACTCAAATTTATTCAGCTAACCATTATCGCAATAATCTAGATCTTTCTATATTTATGAACAGTTATATACTTGATGAGCAATCTACCTTTTTCTTTTTGAATAGAATTCTTCGTCTTCTTTACTTTTCTGAATAATACCTTTTCTCTTTTAGACAAAGGGCAAAAACGCATTGTAAACATAGTTGGACCTATTCTTGCAGCCAATCTTCAATTATTGTCACATCATCATAATATTGCTTCTCTTTTTTTTCTATAAATACTATAATGTGTGCTGCCATCTACTAAAATTCAATCTCCTGTTACTAGTCATTTAATCAAGCTTTATCTGTTTACTATAACTGTGCTCATAAAAATTCTTATCTGTCTAGTTTTTTTCCGTCAAATATCAGTTCTTTGGAACTTGTTGCCTCTTGTATTCCTGATTCATATATTTTACAATCTTTTACACTGTCTTTTAAATGCTAAAGTTCCTTATGAAGATCTTCTTGTAAAACTAAAGAGTAATTTCTGTTAAAATCAGACAAAATTGAAAACAAAAATACCAAATGTCACTAATTTTGTTCTAGTTTAAGTATTTGCTTTGTACAACAGATGCAATGATAAATACACAATATTTTAAATATTGTTGTTTGTCAATTGTGGTACTTTGAAAATTGGACAAATTGTAGTCAAATTTTAATTGCTTATTTTGCATCAACTGGAATATAGCATATTGTATCCTAGTATAATCACAAAGATAAAACTTTTTTGGTGTCTTCTGGAACTTAATCATGTTAAGTTTAAACATTGTTTTATTCTAATGTAGTTATTAAATTTAATGATTAATTAAAAATAAAAAAATCTATGATAGGCTATGATTTCTAGATAATAATCTACTTTTAATTTTTTTTTCTAATAAAACATTTATTTGGATATCTGTTATAAATAAGTTGACTTATAATAAAAAATATTCCAGTTATAGCTTCTTAAAGTATGACATAATGCAAAAATAAGCAAATAGACTGAAATTCATTTGATTTTTAAAGTACCAAAATATTTTTTACTCATCATTCCATCTATTATACAAAGCAAATGTATAAAACAAAGTGGAATTGATGATATTCGGTATATATTTTTTTAAATTGTCTGCTTCTTATAGATAATAGCTCTTAAAGCCTATGAAAATATGGGTGTGCTTCTCTCTACGATAAAATTTCTAGATAATTTTTCTAGAAAACAGTAACAATAAATATTAATTATTCTGATTAGGTATAAGTGAAAAGTAGTGTTTCCAAGGTTTAGTTTTCTCAGCACTATTAGTCATATACATTCATTATATTTCCTATTTAATTACCTTCAATGCAGCACTTTTTGCTGATTTGACCAAAATATTCTACACTCATACTAATAAGCATCTAAACTGCAAAACTATATTAACATCTTGGTTGACTGGAACCTAAATGGAAATGAAATTTAAAAAAATTTACAGGTTTACACCTAGGTTACAAAAACAAACAGCATGTCTATACTATGTAGTAAACCAATTTAACAAATAAGAATTAATATCAAATCTAGTAACACTAAAACTGACTTAGGAGTATATATAGATAAAAACTTATTGTTCTATAAACATACTTCCACACAAGTTAATAAAGCAACACAAAAAACTGATAAAAGAAGATCCTTCTCCCGTCTAAAATCTCTTTGTTTTAAAAGGTTATTCATAGCAATAAAAATATGCATTTAAAATTTTCAGTCATAAAAGTTATAATTCAGTCATATTTTCTAAAAGTCATACTTCTATAACTTTAAAATTGAAATCTGTAAAATTCAAAAATAATATAAATTAAATAAAAATGCAATACTACATAAAAAATATATATTCAAACTTTTTTAAATATAAAATCAAACAAATTGCATACAACTAAATTGTTAAATTGAAACTATTCAATGTCTATTTAAATAGGAAAACAAATCATCTATGTAAATAAGTTAATTAAATGAAGAACTTCAGTTTCTTTCTTTTTTGTTTAAAAAAAAATTGAATTCAAGCAACTTCATTTTAAAATTTTAAATATTGTCTGAAATTATTTATTATTATTATATTATTTGAATAGTGATGCAGGGTTTGAAAAAGTTATCAGATACTAGCACCCTCTCTGCCTGTTCAAAGACATTTCTAAGAGAGCAACCAACTATTTATTACATTGTCTAAAAAAATAATTGATAATTGGTTGCCTATCTCTGATAAGTCAGTATATGGGTTGGAGGTGGGCTTTGGTGTTAAATTTTTCAAACAAAATTTTTTTTTTTAAAAAAATTCAGACTATTAAAATTATAAAAAACTAAAAAAATAAAAATTTAAAATAACTAATACATTGCGCTTCTCATGATCACTATTAGTAGATGCCAGTTGCAATGTTGCATAAAGGACAAACAGAGAAATATAGATCTTTCTATCCATTTTTACACAAACCTAATTTAAAAAAAACTTTCAAGTATAACTCATAATTCATACAATATTATAAAAAAATTTTACCTTCTGTGTAATTTTTACTAATTCATTTAAAAAATAAGAACAAAATATTAAATTTCTTCATAAAATGCTTTAATAAATATAGGTTTTTTGCAAAATATTGATTATCATATATAATAACATGGAATTACTAATTCAAGTATGTATTCTATACGTATAAATACTAATTCATGAACAAATTATTAAAATTCTTCATAAAAAGCTTCAATAAACATAGTTTTATATAGTAATTATATAATTACTATATAATTACATGTAATTATAAAGGATGTTTGATTTTTTGCAAAAAAAAAAAAAAAAAATTATTTGATAAAACTTTTTATGAAAAAATTTAATATTTTGTTAACATTTTTTTAATGAATTAGTATTTACAATTAGTAATGAATTAGTATTTATATGTATTAAACACATATTTGAATTAGTAATTACAAAAAATCAAACATCCTATATAACTACATGTAATTATATAGGATGTTTGATGGATGTTTGTTGAAACTTTTTACGAAGAAATTTAATATTTTGTTCTTATTTTTAAAATGGATTAGTGTTTACAATTAGTAATTGTTGTATACAACAAATTTTGTTGTTACAATTATTGATTTATTAAAAAGCTACTTTCTTACAAAGTAACTTTTAACAAATCAATAATTATATTTGCATATTATATTAACTACATTGAACATTCGCAAAGTAAAAATACAAACTACTGTAAATTTAAAAATATATATATATTTTTATGTGATTTCATCAAAAAATATAATTTCATGTGAATTCTATCAATGAAAGACTGGAAAAGTATCTGGACTGCAAACTGCCGTCATTCTAACTGATCTATTTAATTTTTGATTTATGAGCTTAATTTATATTCAGATTTATTTCCTTAATTTAATAAGTTATTGTGTATCATTGGAGAATTGCCGTATTTTTAGAATTACGGCAATATTTAGGTCCTTATTCTTAACTATTTTGAATCAGAATTCTCAGTAAATTGGCTTTAGTAATATCAATTTAAATTAAAATAACAATTAGTTAATTATAAACTAATTGAAATAAATCAACTGTAAACCTCACTTATCAAGATGAAATAACGATCTAAAGAGGATCCAAAAATTTCTTATTGCCGTTAGAATTGCTTTAAAAAAGAGAACGTAGTAATGTATAAAAATTTTTACATATATATATAATATCAGTAACGAATCTAGAAATTTTTAGTGGGAAGGATGGGGGAGGGATGTTGAAGTATTTTTGTATTTTGTACCATATTTGCGTCTCAAATAAAAAAAAAGGTTTTCAATTTCTATGATATTTTTAGAACTTTCATATTCTGGTGAGAGTTGGGGATGCATACCCCATCCTGCCCCCTGGATCCGTCACTGTAAAATATATGTAATGGTTGTTATTATATATATATATATATATATATATATATATATATATATATATATATATATATATATATATATATATATATATATATATATATATATATATATATATATATATATATATATATATATATATATATTGAAAAACCCCCTCCCCTCGTTTGTACGCATTTGTACCTCCCCTATAACTGCATACTTTATGGATGATCTCTTAGCACAACAAATTTTCCCGGCGTTCTCATGCAAATTCCTTCTTTTTGTCAAACAATTTTTACTCTTCGTTAAGCAAATAATACTATTTGTTAAACGAATAGTACTATTCGTTAAACAAACAGTTTTATTCGTTAAACGAATTATATTATTTGTTTAACGAATATTACTGTTCGTTAAGAAAATAGTTTTATTTGTTAAGCGAATAATACTATTCGTTAAACTTCGGTTACGAAGTTTAACGAAAATTCGTTATTCAACTTCGTTTAACTTTGAAAGGCAAAGTTAAACAAACTTCGCCGGTGCTTATAAAAAACCTACTTTGCCGTAGAAACGAAAAAAGTCAAATTGATTTCCGTGGAGATTTTAATCGGAACCAAATCTAAATCGTGTTAACAAGTGGAGCAATATTGGCCACACAAGAGCGTTTTTTTTCAATAGAGAGGAGGGTCTAAACGTGGCTAAGATCAACAATGGCTCAAAAAAATTATAGTTCTTTTTCAGTACGCACATTGTTGTCGTTGATAGCCAATCTTTAGTAGAAGTAGCCGAAAGATTTACTGCTGCAAAAGAGAAGCACAGGGATGAGTTTGGAACATTTACTTTAAAAGGCCTTAATTAGTTTCTTTTTATCACATTTTTGCAATTTTTTTGCAGTATTTGAAGAAAATCTCCTAATTATTATTTTCTAAATTAAGGCAACAAAAGTTTTTTTGAGACCCAAAAAACATTTGAATTCAAGATAAATATTTCATTTCAGACCCCCTAGTTTTAAAGCACTTCGTAGCCCATGAGGCTTATATCAATACTTTCTGTATTTTCTAAACTCTTTGAACGTATAAATTATAATTGAATATTTATATATTCAAGATAAATATTTCATTTCAGACCCCCTAGTTTTAATGCACTTCGTAGCCCATGAGACTTATATCAATACTTTCTGTATTTTCTAAACTCTTTGAACGTATAAATTATAATTGAATATTTATATATTCAAGATAAATATTTCATTTCAGACCCCCTAGTTTTAATGCACTTCGTAGCCCATGAGACTTATATCAATACTTTCTGTATTTTCTAAACTCTTTGAACGTATAAATTATAATAGAATCTATGATTACTTTATTAAAAACAACTTTTTTAATTAAATTAATTTGGTTTTTAAAAAAATATTTTGATTGAGCATGCAATCATTAAAATAGTAAACCAAATAACAAATGGCTTTGAAAAAATTAAATTTATTTAAAGAGTATTTCTTGATTTATTAAAAGCATTTTATTCAGTGGATCATTAGCATCCTATTAAATAAACTAAGACATTAAGGGATAATTCATAGAATTAATTGTTGGATTAAAAGCTATCTTAAAAACAGAAAGAAGTATGTGCGTAATGTGCAATCTGAAGTAATAAATGTCATACGTGGAGTCCCACAAAGATCAATTCTCGGTCCTCTCTTGTTATTAATTTATATAAATGACATTTGTAATGCATTTTTAAAACTGAATTAAGTTGTGTTTGCGAATGACACTAATCTATTTACTAGTAACAATGATATCAAAAAACTATATGCGGATACAAATTTTGAACTAAAAAAGTAAACAATTGGTTACAACTGTTTACTTTTTTTTAGTTCAAAAATAATTGGACTAACAAACTCACACTTAATGCAGATAAAACAAACTATATACAATTTTATAAAAAACATAATGAGAAAATTTTCCTCTCAAGTAGTTTATTCCTAAATAATTAACTAATTAAATAGCAATCCAATGAAAGTTTTTTTGGAAATATTGTCCATTAAATGATGTCTTGGCTTCAAATAAAATATATCTAGTCAAAAGAACTAAAACCATAGGTTTGATGTTCGCTCTTACATCAATACACAAAGTCCTAAATTAATCTTCTTAGAGTTAATTCATAACTTCATTAGCTTAAGTTTATCTATTCAATTTAGATAATGAATTGTTCCACAAGCATGGTTTTGCAAGCCTTGATGTTTGACTAATTTGTTTTGCGTGAATTAGCACGCTCTATATTAAAGTGTGTGAGATGACTATGAATCAAATTAAAGTAATTTTTTTTTGATTATAGATCAATCAATATTTGAGATTTATATAAAATACCTATTGCAGATGATATTTTTAATTGACTGTGCCCAATATGGATTACTCTATGATAAATCTTATTTTGAAGTACTTCACTAAACAAAAGTTTATAATTAAAAAAACCATCGACTACCAAAGACTTTAATAGTCTATAACTTTTTTAAAATTATTTTTTGACCTGAGGTTTTAGCTATTATGAAGTCTCAAAAATTGTGCTGATCGACTATAATTCCTATTTGAGTTTAATTTTAAGTCAAACAATTTAAATTTATAAAAAAATATATTTATTTTTTATGTGCTATACTAGATAAAAATTTATAATAGTTAGAAAAATATTAGAAGATACTTGTGGCTTTATTGTTAGTTTATCAATTTTTGCGTACTTTTAATGATATTTAGACAGGCATGATATTTAGACAAGCTATCATTTTTAGTTTTAAATAGCCAATAAGCAATAATCAGGTAAAATATCCATTGAAAAGTTTGTTCTAATTTCAAGTATAAAATTGCCTACGTTAAATACCTTAAATTACCTTAAACTTTTATCTGCGTAAAAAAGTTAAAACTTGAATTTTTGCAATATAATACCTCCATTGATAAAAGCGTTTTGTCGCAAAAATGTGAAAAAGCTTCATACACATATTTTATCAACTATTTAGTTTTATCTTGGGCTTCTTAAACGGGATCCCAGGATTTTCCCGTTTTCCCGAGATCCCGATAGTAAAAAATCATCCCATTATTGTGTGGCGGGATAGCTCAGAAGGTTAGAGCGTCAAAGGAAAAGTTGAAACCAATGTTGAACGATACGAGTTCAAACCCCGCTACCGCCAACTCAGCGCTTGAGTAGTACTTCGGTACGCAAAAATGTTGGTCAATAACGGACGCTACTTTGGATTAGTCTTAATGACTATTTGTGGCTGTTCCTATGCTAAGCCAACAATATCTTCGGATATAAGAATATTGTATATAAAAATATAGTATGAAAACTCAATTTAATAGAAAATAAAAAAGTAAAAAATTAAAAAAAAAAAAAAAAATTATCCTAGGATTTCAATGAAATTTCCCGGGAATTTTGGTAATTTTTTTGAACATTTTTTTTACCATTGTTTTAGTATTGAAAATATTATCACTCAAAATTTGAGTACTGTTTACTTCTATTCCCTCTTGAAACGAATTTTGGAAAAAATTTGGAAGATTAAGTGGCTATTCCACTTTGTTCCGCACATTTAGCAGTTTGTGATGTTATAAGAAAGCATTAGCATTGCAAAATGGTTCAAAAGGTCCGGAGAATTGTCCAAATTTTTTGTAAATCACCACTCAAAAAAGAAATTTTACAAAAATACATAAAAACTTAACACAATAAAGAACTCAAGTTAATGCCGGATGTAAAGACAAGGTGAAATATTTTTCTTGCAATTTTGGAGCAATTTATTGCATTAAAAATATGTAAACTAAAAGCATTTACGGATTTTAAACACAATTATATTAACAATATTTTGGAGGAAGAATATTTATTGGTGCAAACTGTAGTAACGGCGTTACAACCAATATAACTCGGAGTTGAAAGACTTGGCCGATGCTACTTGATGCAGAGGGTGTGTTACTGTTTATATTAGATTTTTTGCGCAAAAATAAAGATTGCTTTTTGGTTAAAACGCTGCAGTATATACAACAAAGAATTGTCGAAAGACGGAATAAAAATTAGCTTATTAAAACATTTAAACAATCAGTACTTTAAACTAAAAATTTGTTTTCTAAGCTATTTGTTAAAGATTTTGATATGTTATTTTGTATTTAATTTCTTTATCTTTTTCTTATTAAAATTTATAGTATAAAAAACGCATTTTTTGTGTATTTGTTTGAATTCACACATTTTTCCCCACCTGGTTAGATATATTCTTGCTTGTAACCTAATCCCGGGATTTCCCGGGAAATGTAATATTTTTGTCCTAGAATCCCGGAAACCGAGAAATAAGAAGCCCTAGTTTTAGTCCATTTTGCTCCGGAACTTAATTGACTATTGTTCCTTAAGGTTAGCATAAATTTGCTGTGTAGATGTCATTACAATTTGTAAAAAACTATTAGAGTGAAAATTAAACGTGCTTATCCTTATGAGTTTTGCATTCCATTAATTAGTACAAGTTATTGTTTAGTACAATATTCCATTAACGCAATATCAATTAGTGCAATATTCCATTAATTAATACAAGTTTTTGAATAATTAAATTTTAGTTAAAAGTACTAAAAAAATTTTATTTTTATTTTTAATGTCATTAAAAAAAAATTGTTTAGATTGCATTATCTTATTTTATCTTTATCAATTTTTTAAAGTCATTTAAAATAAAAAAAATTTTTAGTACTTTATTTTTTTAGTTATTTTTGTCTAAGGCCTTAGATAAAAAAAAAATTTCCAAGCATGTATTTTGTTGCTATTAATTTTTCTAAGCAAAAAAAATGTATTGTTATGGTAAAACAAGTTTTATCACCTACATGTATGTTATAATAAAAAGCTTGCACAAAATAAGTATGAATAATTGTGCCATAAGTATAACTGACTTTATTGCTGATATTGAATTAAATTTTCCTTACCTTAAAACTCATTGTCAATAAGATAAAGCAATCTAAGTTCTCTAAATCTAAAGCAATCTAAAGTTTCAATGTACTAGTTGTATGCTTACTAATAAGTTTTTTCCTTTAAGTTAAAGGAATACTAATACTTAAAAAAAATACTTATAATAATAGTTTTTTAAATTTTTACACTATGATTGTAGTGTAAAAAATGTAGCCCAAGTGTATCTTTTGTTAAAAATCTTACATTAGTAACTTAATTTAATGAACTTGTAAAGAAATTCTTCTTATTTAAAGATTTTAACCCTATTTTTTTAGAAAAAAAATAATTAAATAAACAGCATAATGGTAAGGTTGTTGTATTTTAATAACTAATCTTGTATTTTTTAATAATGATATATAGCAATATTTTAATAATATAAATATTTTATAATAAATTTTTAGTATCGAAATCAATATGATCACGATGTTTCAATATGGAGTCCACAGGTTTAAGTTTAAATCTATTATTCGATTTCTAAAAACCTTGAATATACATAACACAAATATATGTGTTACAATTAAATATTATATACACGTACTTGTTTTTAATTTATAGGGGAGAATATTTCAAATTGAATATGCAATGGAGGCTGTAAAACAAGGGAGCGCAACTGTTGGTTTAAAATCAAAAGATTATGCTGTTTTAGTTGCATTAAAGGTAAAAATAGATTGTTTTTTTGTTATAAGTGTGTGTATATATATATATATATATATATATATATATATATATATATATATATATATATATATATATATATATATATATATATATATATATATATATATATATATATTATATATATATATATATATATATATATATATATATATATATATATATATATATATATATATATATATATATATATATATATATATTATTTTGATGTTTTAACAATTTTAATGCTATAAAAACAAGTTGTTATGTTATAAATAACTTTTAATCGTTGATCTTTTCTAAAGTTTTTATTTTACGTGAAGGCTTTTAATAAAATAAAAAAATTAAATATTATGATTAAATAAACTATTTTGATAAAATAAACACATTTTGTGTAAATTAACAAACAATGTTATATTTAAATTTTTTTTATGTAGGCATTTATTTTTGATGATAAATTTAAACATTTGAAACTATTTTTTTTATGTCTTTCTAAAAACTTTTGAAAGATAATTTTTTAAGTTACTCTAAATTATGAATAAGTAATATTAAATCTTCTGTTGCAAAAGAATGATTTAATGCTTTATTTTTTTTGTTTCTATTTTTATGAAGAATTGTTTTAAAAAAAAACTTTTTTCTTTTTAATTTGACTAACTAATTAGAGCATGAAATGAATAAAAATTACTATTATAAATAGACTAGGGTATTTTTTTCAACAATTTTGTTTGTTTTTTTGTTTGCAACTTTTTGGAAAAAATAAATTCTTATACAATTTATAAATAATATATATATATATATATATATATATATATATATATATATATATATATATATATATATATATATATATATATATATACACACATATACATACATGCATACATATATATATATATATATATGCATGTATGTATATGCGTGTATATATATATATACATGCATACATACATACATACATACATACATACATACATACATACATACATACATATATACATACATACATACATACATACATATATATATATATATATATATATATATATATATATATATATATATATATATCAGGCTTGGTCGGGAAGCGGGAGCGATCGCTCTCGATTGCTGACCACGTAAATAATATTTAGTTGCGAAAAGCTGGCCAGATTTTTTAGTCGCTTTGAGAACATTTGAAAAAGCAAATAAAAAAAAAGCGCTTAAGATTAATTGGACCGATGAGAGACAATTACAAAAAAAAAAAAAAAAATTAGGTAAATAAAATATCTTTAAACGCGAAAAAGCTAAATAAATTACGTTTAAAACAAATACTTTCAAATTATCGCTCTTTTATAATTTTTTTAATAAAATTAAGCGATTTTTTTTATATAAAGTAACAAATTACGATTGTTTAAAGAGGAAACAAATATTCTTTATTTAACAAAGTATGCAAGCTTTAGTTTAATTTTAGCTAAACAATTTTATAAATAATAAAGTTAATTTTTTCAATAGCTATTTTATGTTTCGCGTAGTTTGAAAAGTTTAACATATTTGAAGCATTTCTTCTTAGTAAGATAAACAAATGAAATAATTAAATCATTGAATTCTATAGAAATTAAATTAACAATATAGAAATCAACTTAAGGTTAAAAATACTTCATGACGAGGAAGCGAAATTGCTTCACAATATCTCTGGTGATGTTTAGTGAGTGGGCTTTTTAATTTTAATTAGTATTTAAAGCAGAAAAAAGTATAACGAGTTTTTAGAATGGCAACTTAAGCAAAAATAATTAGAGTTAGTAAACCATTATCTAGTAACTTTTCTTTATATCTAATTATTTGCTATATATATTTGTGTTCTGTCGTGACCTCAGGCGCGGTGCTTGTTCATCTGCGAGTTACTTTGTACGCGTTGTTTGTGTTTAGTTACTAGAAACTTCTTATATGTTTGTTACGTAATTAGTTTTATTAACTATAACGATTATAACTTCATTGAAAACGCAATTATTTTTGTAAGTCTTTGTTTAAATCGTAAAAATTGCTTTAAAAGATACATTACGATAAAAAACAGATAAACAAAATTAAATTTACATAAAGAATACATACTTTTTAAATAAAAAATAAGAATATACTAATAAAATCTATAATTTATAATAAACTTTTAACATTTTGACAATTTAATATATATTTAAAACTTTTATTTTTGTAAACAAATAATATATTTATTCTTAAAACAAGTGGTGCTAGAAATCTCAAAACGTAACAAATCGTTTCTAAAAACATTTCAACAGATTACTCTTCTTAATTTTGCTAAGTCTGCGTATTTTTTGAACCAATAGAATTAGTTTCTTCGTTAATTTGGCGGGTTTTTAGTGTTCGTGAATATTCTTTTTATTCTTTCGCACAAAGATGTTTTGAGAACATTTAAGTTTATTATGTTTCCATGTATGTCCGTAAAATAAAAATTTTTTTTTCGTACATAAACTTAAATGTTCTCAAAACGACTAAAAAACCTGGCCAGTTTTTCGCAACTAAATATAATTTCCGTGGTCAGTATTCGAGAGCGATTGCTCCCGCTTCCCGACCAAGCCTGATATATATATATATATATACATATATATATATATATATATATATATATATATATATATATATATATATATATATATATATATATATATATATATATATATATATATTATATTAAACTTTATTAATAATTTAAATAAAATTTATTTATTCATTAAACATCATTAGAAGTAAGTGTTTTGTGTAACTTTAATAAAACATTATAAAAGTTTTGAATTGATTTATTTTAAACACAATTAAAAATGTAACAAAAAGTAATTTTTGCTTCAATTTGAGTTTTATTTTAGTGCTTATATATTTTCTTTTTTTTAAGAAACTGTTTTCTTTTTTAATTTGTTTTTTAATTTTTTATCGAGTTTACGTTCAGATTGTTCAGCGCATTTCTAAAATGTTTAAAAATCATCTAAACATCTACACAGTCATTGCCAAATTGTCAAAAAATAAGCCCTCACGAATGCTATATCAAGTTACTCTATACTTTATAATAAAAAAGAATTGCTTTATTTTTTTTATTAACTTTTTTTTCAATAGTTTTATTTAATAAAGCAAAAAGCTTATGGATTGCAGTTTACAAAATAATGTTACTTACTGATAGACACATTAAATAACATGCCTTAAGAGTTAGCAACATTAAAAAATAATAAGTTACTTTCTTAAAAAAAACACACACACACAGAAAATACAACCCTTTGCTGGCCTAATGATACCAAATTATATAGTTTTTTATTCAAAACATTGCTCTATTATTACCTGATTTGTCACATCTCTTAAGATGCTTGCAAAATTACAATGTTTCATCTTACCCCATGAATCATGGTGTCCCACTTTTTAGTTTCTCCTACATATATTAAAATCTTTTAAAGCCTAGTTTTGCTGTTATATGATAAAATATGTGTAAAATTCAATAAATATGGTTGCATATAAACTTTTTTAGAAGTTAATATATTTGTTTTATTTTTATATATTTTAATTGATAGTTTGCTTATTTATTGTGATAAGCATCAGTTATAATAAATAAGATTTTTTGTTTATCCCTTTAGCACCCACTAAAGTTTAAATTTTTCAAAAAATTCCAAAACTTTCTAAAAGCAACTTCTTTAGACCTAGATTATGAATAAAATAATAAAAACCAAAAATCTCAAATGGCAAAGTCAATTAAATAATTGTAGCATATCTGCTACAATGGGAATACGAGGAATCAAATTATAAATATAGTTTTCTTTGAAAAAAAAAGATTTTTTTAAAATTTAAAACAATTTAAAGAACAAATTTAAGAAATTTAACAGAAAAAAGAATTTTTACTTATGTTTTGAACTGTCTAACTCTCTTCTATACAAATAAAAAACATTTACAGCATAAATATACATCTTATAAGACAGTAAATAACCATTTATAATATAAATATAAGTTATATAAACAAATCTTAAATGCCATTAATGGTAGTCATGATAGCAATTTCTGTCTTTAGTTAAGCATAGCCAAACATTGCACTTTTTGCAACAAATATAGGAAAAACCAGTTTTGCATTTCTTACACCATTGAAGTTTGTCACTATAAGATGGTAAGTGGTCAAATCCATCTAACCGGATATCCTTTGTAAGATTACTTTGAACAGCTGCAGCTCTTTTAGTTGGTATAGGTATTGCATCAAATGATGGTCTTCCAGCTTTTCTTTTTACAAAAGCTACCAAGCTAGAAGCTATTGCAGCTTGAAATTTTTTAGTAGGGCAAAGAATTTTTAAGTCTCGACCTTACAAAAACCATGCATTAGATAACGCAATAAGAAGGGTATGTGCCCATATATATACATAACATCTATGACATTTCAAATTTGGTTTGTAGAATGAGCACATCATATCCAGTTTGTCAACTCCACCGATATTTTTATTATAAAATTGGACTATGTAAGGTTGCTTTACCATAATATATTTGCGGGTTTTTCTGTCATAACGCCTCACTGTGTTGATTGGTTCGTTACTCGCAAAAGATGAAATTAAAGTTACTGCCTTGTTATCTATCCAACAAATAGCTATTTTATTAGTATTGTTGTCAGTATGATATTCAAACGATCCACGTCCTTTTTTAATTCTTTTTCTGAAGGCAATGAGCATTTGTTAAGGCGTTTACGGTGTATTGTTTCAAAATACCATATTCAATGCTTTTTCAACTCATCTAGCGAAGGCAACGAGGAAAAATAATTATCAGCAAATTTTTTAAAATTATGATTTTCTGGCAAAGTTGAGGTCATTTTTATTAAAACAATATAACATAAGATGCCCCAATACCATTTTTCTTTTCCTTGATATAAATCAAAGTCATACAAATACCTGCTGACACCACATCTACCCCAAAGTTTACACCCCCACTTATTTAATTTGTTTAGGACATATTGCTTCAAAACTGACCTTCCTTTGAAGGCAACCATTATCTTATCAACTTGTTAATTTTCTCAGTTTTTCTAACCAGGCCCGATCATTTTTCTTATCTTCATCTGTCAGCTTTAAATTATCGACAAAGTGTAAATAGCAAAGAATAGAAAGAAATCTATTTTTTGATAATACTGAGCTTACTCCATCATAATTCATAAAGGTTTTCCAATAAGATCTTACTGATGGTAGTTTCACAAGACTCATACGAAAATAAACACCAATAAATGACTCCTCGGTGTAGTTAAAGTGATTTACAAAATATTTGAATACTTTTATTTGGAATTAGCATGGTTTTGTCAGCATATGCCCAAACAAGATCTTTAAATGTTATAATTTTTTTTGCTTAAGGTTTTTATAATATTTGAAGAAACTTTTCTTTTTTATATATAGTTTTTAAAATCTTTTTTACAACCCGTAATAATGTATCTAAAGAACACTATATAAGAAATTGATCTAAAGACTCCAAGTCTTTAGATCAATTTCGCTCATCGACATTAACATGAATTTAATCTTTTTAAATCTTTTTAAAATTTAAATTTTTTTAAAAAGTTACTTAATTTACTACTGATCCTAGTTCTAATCGGTTCTGACGTATATTAACTATATATAGTTGTCAAAACACAATATTTCTATCAATTTTTACAAAAAATACTGGAATTCCGACCAAGAAAGAGCTTATAATTATAAATAATTGCCAATAAACGATTAGAACAGATCATATTGTTAAACTATAATGTTCATTTCACTTAGAAAACGTATTAATATAAAATTTTATTTAAATTTGGACGAGCGATTGTGATTTTAAGATGATTTAAAAAAAAAAAAAAGATTGCACGGTCTGGGTTTTTTCACTACAAACATTTTTATTTTATGATAGTGCAAAATTTATTATTTTAATTTTTTTCGTCTTTTCATAATTCACAGACCAGACTATTTCACCGAAATATGTCATAACAAATTATCATACAGACTCTATAATATTTTAAAAGTGCATTAACTACACCGAGTCTTTCTTATTTCATTTGGTGTGACACAAATGCTTGTATCTGATGACTGGCAACTATATAAACTTGATTGTTCAGTAAGAATGTCTATAAGATTGTCATCAATAAACAGTTTAAAATACTCATAGGGAGTGGTAGTTTCATGTGGAATAGGTTCAATAGGTACTTCTTGAAAAGTAATATCACCAATCAAGTCATTATAAAGTGGAACTTTTTTCTAAAGTGGCAAAACCCTTAAACTCTTTTTATTTTTATTACTTTGATTGATTTTTTAAAATTTTTTTTTGGTTGGAAGTGAAGAGTTGAAACAAAACATATCATCATCTGTACTGCTTTCCTGGGTAAGAGACTCCGGGTAAAAGTATATTGTAATGGGTAAAAGTATATTGTCATTATTGTCATCATGCACAATGTTAGTACTGCTTGCAACTGCAGTTAAAAGATCTGATTCAAAATCAGAGTCTGATTCGCTCAGATCCTCAAAATCACTTTCACCATCTAGAATGTATGCTAGAGCATCTTCAATGTTTAATTTTTTGTTTTTATTTATCTAAAGTAAAGTAATATATGTGTGTATATATATATATATATATATATATATATATATATATATATATATATATATATATATATATATATATATATATATATATATATATATATATATACACACACACACTTTAAAGCCCATTGTAGCATATATGATACATATAAGTTCAGATAGCATTTTGTGTTAGTTTAAAAAAGAGTTAACTCATTTATATACTTATAAATTGTATCAATTTGCAAGAAAATAAATAAAAAAAGCTTTAATATGTCCCAAAAACAGGAGAAAACTTATTTTGAGTGACATCGGTCTAAATGCGATCAATAGATTTTTTGATATATGATTTTGATGTCATTTTTTGCCTCAAATATCCAATTATATGAATTTTGTTCAATCAAATCAACAAAAAGTATGTTATATGTATATGACAGGACAACCGTAAAAGGTTTCTAAAGTTATGTAGCAGATCTGCTACACGGTATTTAAATAAATAAATTATGTCAGTTAAATCAAAATTAAAATTAAGGTAAGTTACCTTAATTTTAATTTTAATTTAAAGCGCTAAAGGGTTATTATACTGCTGAAAATTGCCAAACTTTAGTAAAAATAAAATTAATGTAATTGCTAATTTAATGAATATTTTTGCTGAATAAATTATGTCAGTTAAATTAAAATTAAAATTAAGATAACTTACCTTAATTTTAATTTTGATTTAACTGACATAATTTATTTATTTAAATACTTATTTAAAAAAAATCTTACTGTAAGATTTTTTTTAAATGCTCACTAAAGCTATTTTAAACAAATTCTTTAATTATATATTTCTATTTACTGAATATTGGTACTAATAGCTATTAAACAATTTTCTAGTATATATTAATTTTTTTTTAAATTTTATTATTATTTATTAAAAACATTCTTTAACTTGAATTATTTACTTATTTTAAACTGTTTAAATTAAACATTTTTAACAACTTAAATAGTCATTAATAGTAAATATTAAATAAAATAGTAAATAAAATAAATAGTAAGCATAAATAATAAATAAAATAGCCATTTTTTAACAATTTAAATATTCTTAAATTAAATAGTCTTTGCATGACTAAAATCGCATGCATGTATGAACAGCAAATTTCATTCAAAATGTGCAAATGTTATCTGTCAATTTTGCATGTAAAATGTACTCAATAAAATGTTATAAAACAAGTCTATTTGTAACAAGATATGTGTTTTATTTATTTAGAGGTCTTCCTCAGAACTATCATCTTATCAAAAGAAAATAATTTCAATTGATGATCATGTTGTTGTTAGTATTGCAGGACTTACTTCTGATGGAAGATTGCTGAGGTTCTTTGCATGTGTTTAGTATTATTATTTATTAATTATAATATTGTGTATGTTCATTTCTAAATAAATATGGTTATAAATAATCCTTTACATTTACATGAATTTATTTGTTGATAACTTTATATTTAAATAAAGCTAAAAATAAACTTTTAAGTTCAACATAAATCTATTTATAAATAGTCTTTTTATTAATGCAGTTATAGTAAATAATGCATATTATTAATTTTATATAATAATGTAACTAATTAAAAATAAATAAATGATGAAAATAATTACAACATAGTTATATCATTTAGCTCATTCATGCGTGATGAGTGTTTAGATTCCAAATATGTTTATGATCTGCCTTTACCTGTTTCGAGATTGGTTAGTTCTACCACAGAAAGTATCTTTTCAATTAATTACTAAAAAAAGTCAATTTTATGTTATATTAAATGCATATTAAATGATTGTCACTATTAAAAAATTTTGCAAATAATTATAAGTTTTAATTTTTTTCAAAAAAAATACTTGTAAAAAGTAAGGACAGATTGTTTCTAAAGAATAAAAAAATAAGGACAGTCTGTTTCTAAACAATAAAAACATAAGGGTAGATTATTTCTATCACAATAAAAATAAATTTTTTAATCAGTGAAAAACCATTTTACTCTTCAAAATAAAAATGTTTGATTTACACATAGTCATAGTATTTAACTAGTCTGGAAATGTGCACCATTTTCTATAGATTTCATTAAATAACTTCAACTATATTACTATAACTATAACTATAATAGTTTTAAAATGACATTTTTAGCGCTTTGATAATTTAAATGTATTCAATGCTGTTTTAGCTGGTATTGAGTTTCTGTTTGTAGGAAGCAGACCTCGATTTTAGTTGAAATACTAGGTTACCAATTAGCCAATTATTTTATCCTAACCAAATTAAAGAAAGTATATTTTTGTTTTTGTTTTGCAAGAAATGATGTATATGGCAAGGTGACTTGTCACCCAAATGCCAACACAAGGACAAAGTTACTGATAAGCAATTTAGTAAAGAATAAACATGCGGTAGTGGTGTAGTGGTAAAACACTCGCTTCATAAACGAGTGGTTCCGAGTTTGATCCCCACCACGTCCCTGGTAGTACCGCGCTCAACTCGTTTCTCCGCGCAGCCTTGTTCGTCAAGGTTCGTGTTTCGGAGTTATAGAGTTGAGAGAGGGTTATAGCCATAAAATAAGTAGCCTCCTCGTCTGTAGTGGCCTTCTCGGCCTTGAGGAGGTGAAGTAAAATTAAAAAAAAAAAAACACTATTAAGTAGCCTCCTCGTCTGTAGTGGCCTTTTCGGCCTTGAGGAGGTGAATAACAAAAAAAAAACAACAAACAAAAGCAAACAATTTAGTAAAAATAAAAGAAAGCTTCATCTTATTTTTCAAAACTATTTAGTTCAGATTACAGAAAAGCTTGCTACAGACAAATAGTATTCTACTTTAGTATGAATTTAAAAATTTAAAATCAAGTAAAAATATTCAAACTATTTCAAGAAGAATTCACTACAGCTTAGTCACTAGTAAAAATATGTAAATAATTTTATTTGAAGGATATGCTGAAATTTTATAATGCAGATTCTACGAAATATTTTCTAAAGCAACAAGTTTTTTTAAAAATCAAAATTGTACTTTTCTTTTATGTTTTGAAGTAGCAAATTTTGTCTTTGTTTATCTGACTGATACCTCTTTTATCTATGATATTATATCGTTTAAGCATTTATCCCAATACATTACTAAACAAAATATTCTATTATGACTAGGAATGTTTTTGGTACCTCTTATACTGTAATTAGTTTTTGTTCTAACATGTTTAAATTGTATCATGGACAGTGTTTATCATATTTGCTTGCTGCTAAAAAGTTTGTAGAAATTATTTTGCAAAAGATAAGCTAAAAGCTTTCAACATTTAAAAAAGTAAACAAAATTAATATATTAAGAACATCAATTAAAAATTACACTCATTTTTGAAACAAGGCTTTAAAGAGGAAGCGAGTTGACTTAAACTTACTAAAACGGCCATTTCATAGCCACATGTTTAAAAATATATATTATTGTTATATTATTAACTTTTCATGAAATAGTAAAGTAAATACTTATGTATACTTTTATGGTGTAGTTACTATACAATAAAACTATTAAATATACTTAATGTATATTTAATAGTTTTATGATGTATTAACTTAATAATAAAGTAGTATTATAAAATTGATTAATATTATTAATCAATCTATTATTATTAATTAATCAATTTTATAATTTTCTTTTAAATTTAAAATATTAATGACACCACTAATATTTTGCATATGTTTTTAACAAAAAAAAAATATGTTTGAACAAAGCTAATAACATAATTTTGTAAATAACACAAACAGTTTTTACTTGTTTTTATTTTCTTTTTTTTTGGCATGACTCAATTCTATTTACTATATTACAATACTTTATATTACTCATGTAGCTAAATGCATTACATTTCAAGTTACTGCACATTTTTTTTGTTTTTTTGTTCTTCGTAGAATATATAAGCAATTCTACACATATTTTTTTATCTGTATATTTTAAGTTGGATAAATCATATTTGAATAAGACATGTCAGGGTTAGGGTTAGGGTTAGGGTTAACTAAGGTAGATATTCCAACTTTTTTTAAAGAGTACGATCCAAGAATAAGTGCTTTTAAACTAAAATTATAAAAATGTACCTAAATTTTTTTTGTCTCCAGTAAAGATACCAACAAAATGTAAAGAGTGATATATAAATTACTAACCAATCCAGCTAAGTAAACTTTTTTTATATAAAATATAGAGTTTATTAGACTCTATTAGTTAACATTTCAAATAAATATACTCTGAATATATGATATTAAGCATTTATACCTATAGACCTCTAGTTGAATGAAGTCGATGAAGTATATGCATCTATGAGTTAGAGATATTGTATTCTGAAAAAAAAAGAATACTGTAGCATAAAATAAATACATCAACAGTACTATATGAAAATATGTTATACTATAACATATATTTTTATATAGCATATTTAAGATTACAAGATCTGTAACATAACTATATTTATCAACTGTTGATGTCCTTATTATATGCTTTATTCATCATTTTTATTTGGAATACAAAATATATATGCAATCTAAAATAATTTCTCAAATTAATTAACCAAAAAAGCACAATTTGTTTTTAGCCTTTCAATATTTATCCTAGAATATAAACCACTTACTAAAAGTAGGTTGAGCACTATATATATATATATATATATATATATATATATATATATATATATATATATATATATATATATATATATATATATATATATATATATATATATATATATATATATATATATATATATATATATATATATATATATATATATATATATATATATATATATATATATATATATATATATATATATATATATATATATATATATATATATATATATATATATATATATATATATATATATATACTCTTGCATGGTAGTGAAAAAGAGTTTCCCATAAACTTTAGTTTTAAAGAGCGCGTTAATAAACCAGACCAGAAAAAGTTTAAAAAATAAATTTTTTTTTTTTTAAATGATAGACTGCCTGCCCAAACCAAACCCTCAGTCGATGTAGCAGCACTCCCTTGCGAGTCAGGCTATTTGTCAGTCGTTGTAGCAGCACTCCCTTGCGAGTCAGGCTATTCGTCAGTCGATGTAGCAGCACTCCGTTGCTCCAAAAACACCACTAATAAAAAAAAACTTTCTAGTCGTTATAATTGCGGTTTTTTAAAAAAGCAATAAAATTTAATGTACTTCCGCATAAATTTAATTGCTTTGACATTTCGACGACAATCAAAAACAGCTTAAGAGACGAGGTAATCAAAATTGTAGTCGAAAGAGACTTTTTTTACATTAAACGACTCTTTCGACTACACTATAAGGATATATATATATATATATATATATATATATATATATATATATATATATATATATATATATATATATATTTATATATATATATATATATATATATATATATATATTTTTTTTTTATTTTAATTCACCTCCTCAAGGCCGAGAAGGCCACTACAGACGAGGAGGCTACTTAATTATGGTTATAACCCTCTCTCAACTCTATAACTCCGAAACACGAACCTTGACGAGCAAGGCCGCTGCGCGGAGAAACGAGTTGAGCGCGGTACTACCAGGGACGTGGTGGGGATCGAACTCGGAACCACTCGTTTATGAAGCGAGCGCTCTACCACTACACCACTACCGCATTCATATATATATATATATATATATATATATATATATATATATATATATATATATATATATATATATAGTTTTATTTTGTAATGTTAATAAAAAATCATTTTCCAATTGTTGCAGATTGTTATTTCCAGTATTTGAAAATAATCCTGTATAGGGCATTATAAACAAACCACTTGGTTTACATAACCCCACTTTTGTAGGTCAAGAAAATGTCTGTAAACTTTTAAAATGAGAAGCAATTTTTATGCATTGAATTTTTGTTTTTTTAATTTAAATTTTTTCACAATGCTGTTTTAACTCAACATTGCACAAAATACAATGTATTTATGTTTTGCATACTCTGTAGACTGCATTTTATGTTTTTCATTCTTTGTAGACTACATTTTATGTTTTTCATACTTTGTAGACTGCATTTTATGTTTTTCATACTCTGTAGACTGTATTTTATGTTTTTCATACTTTGTAGACTACATTTTATGTTTTTCATACTCTGTAGACTGCATTTTATGTTTTTCATACTCTGTAGACTGCATGTTGAATTATTAGGCCTTAATAAGTTTAGAAATGCAAAAGCCAACTAAGGTTTATGGAAGAAGACCATTTGGTGTGGGATTATTAGTTGCAGGTTATGATGTAAGTATATTCAACTAAAAGAAAACCTATCAGTAAATAACTTTAAGAAAAACTACATTTCTTTCTAAGCTGTATGTGAAATTTTATGAACCTGTGGTAAACTTTTAGTACTAATAAAAAGAAATAACTTTATTAAAGGAAATAAATATTAATAATATTTATATAATTTAGTAAAAGTTTATTAAAACTTCTGAATACTATGTAGTTGTAAAAATAAACGGAATGAATTAAAAGATAACTTCGTGAGTCATAAAATCTATCATTTTCAAAATCTCAAAGATCTCTCTGGGAAATACTCTTATATAAAAATATCTTTATATTTTTTATTTGTATCTATTCTTTATTTATTAATTATCCTTCTATATAAATTTACCCTCAAATGAAATTCTATAATTTTTATAATTTTTCAAAATATTAAAAAAACAGAATGATTTTTCTTTATATTTTTGAATGTTCAGAACAAAAAAAATCAGTAATTTTTTTACCTGTGTCTTTAATCTCTTTTGATTTTCCAATTTTTCAAAATGATACCAAAATTAACATGAAACATTGTTCATGAAATTATTTATACTTAATCAAAGTTATTCTATTGATTGACAGCTCTGTTGGCAAAAAAAATTGTCTTTGTACACATTTTTTGCCAATTTCACAATGTAAGCATTTATGATGTCCCTGATGTCCAACAATAAATTCCAGTTGAGCATACCAAAAATGGTATGTATGGTAAATTACCAGAAATTATTGTTGGACAACAATCTTAATTCTGGTATGTGTTCTTCCGTCAAAGTAGTTAGCTTAAGAATTTGAAAAATTAAATTTTTTTTTTATAATCAAATTGATTAAGCAAATAAAAGATTTTTCTGAATGTTAGCACTTTCTATACATTCAATATCTTTTTTTTTTTTTGAATAAATCTATGCTTGCACAGCAAAAATTTATGCTTGCACAGCAAAAATTTATGCTTGCACAGCAAAAATTTATGTTTGTACAGCAAACTCTAGATGTGATCAAATATAGGTTTTGATTTATCCAAAGACTTATATCCCACTGATAAAGTGCTTTTCATCCATCCCAAGATACTGTTGGCTTTGAAAGCAAATTAAATTGCATGTGTGTCAATTGAGATTAGAGTTACTTGTCAAACCAAGGTCACTTTCAAAGCCTGTTGATATTAACACATTCACAGTTGTTCAGTAGGATATATTGTAACTAAACTTAAGGTTACCATAACCAAAGTGCATAACTTTGCATTTATCAATATTTAATTTCATAAGCCGTATTTCAGCCCAGTTGATGATTGCATTTATTTCTCTTAGTAATTTTTGTGTCTTAATTAAATGTCTTGGCTATAAATTTGCTTTTTTTCAGCATAAAGCTTACAAAATTTAGAACATTTGGCAGATCAATAATGAAGATGATAAACAACACGAGGCCAAGCACGTTACCCAGTGTTATTCCACTAGTAAATTTGATACAATTTGAAATCCTAACAATTTGTTGCTTGTTTGCAAAAAAAGTTTTGAAATTTTTCATTTACATTGTATTCTTGTACCTTTTGAGCCAGACTTATATAAGGCACTTTGTCAAATGTAAGGGTTGTAAAAATGTACGAGTTGTACTTGGCCTAGGTGTGGTAGATTACCTTGACGAAATCTAGTAAAACTACATCAGTCCACTGTTTCTTTGAGAGTATTGTTGTGACTTCATCTATTGTTTCCAGTAAATTGATAAGACAACTTTTATTGTAAACAAATCTGTATTTTACTTTGGCTATGAGTTAGTTCAATTAAAGATGATTCATTAAACTGTCTTATTAAACAATTCACTCAAAACCTTTACATGGAATTGAAGTCAAGGTCACTCAGCAGTAGTGTGCTGGTTTTCTGCAAATTGTATAACGTTGGCTAATCTCCACATATCAGGGATAACTCCTTGAATATAGCTTGAAAATATTATAATGGCTTGGAAAACTCTATATGTCATGTGTTAAGTACCTAATGGTGAACTCCATCAACCCCTGAAGTTTAATTATTGTCATAGCTTAGTAGACTATTACTAATATCTTAAATGTATAGTATGAATGCCCTCATTTCCAGATGTGCAAGTTTCAAAATGTGACGCTAAAACTTCATTTAATTGTTTGACAAATACTGATTTAAAATAAATATCATAATTGTTGCTTATGTTTGTTCCAGAGATAGATTAAAAATTTAATTTAATTTTAGTTAATTAAAGTCACAAACAAAAAACATTCTAGAAAACATCTTCCTTTTAATTAGGTTTGAGGCAGTAACAATTAGTAGTTTTGCTGCAGTTTTACATGTTTCTATATCATCTTACGTATCATTTAATTTGGGTGGAAGTAAAGCAGTGTTATCAAGATGCAACTCAATAAAATTATTTCTTTATTAAATTTAATTCAAACTTGCTTTGATTTGTGCTATGTTAGTAATCTCAAAAGTTTCAGTTTTTTCTTACATTTTCATATTTTATTTAAAAAAGTAATTTTAACATGTAAATAGTTGTCAATTGCTTATTTTATATTTTAAAGTATATTATTTTATTCCGGTGCAAAAAGTTTTTTTTTTTAATTCAAATTGTTCAAACATCAATTTTTTTTTCGTAGAGTCAAGGAGCACACATTTATCAACTTTGTCCATCAGCAAATTTCTATGATTGTAAGGCAATGTCTATTGGTGCAAGATCACAGGTAACAAAACTTTTAAATCAAAAGTTCAGAAAAAAGTTGTGGTTGTAGTTAAATTTTGTTTAATGTTTAAATTTGCTCAAATAAGGTTTATACAATTTTTTTGTTTAGAGTGCAAGAACATATTTAGAGAGAAATTTAGAAAAGTTCCCAGAATGTAAGTTATAGTTTTAATTCAACTAATTATCACTTCATGATGAATTTCTATTTGTACTACAATTTATGCAACAAAAGTAGATAATTAAATAAATAATTATTTAATCTCAATGTAACAATTAAACATAATAACAATGGTTCTTTTAAAATTGGTGCCTGTGTTTATTCAAGAAGATGTTTTGATGATCATTAAACTTTAGCAGTCTTTTCAAAATTTGACTTACTATTAAATGTTACTATTTTTAGATTGCCATTTTATATAAATCATTGCTTTATGTGATAATTTTTAATTAATAATTTTTAAGTTGTTTAAGTTTTAAGTAATTATAATAAAAATAATAAAAAAGTAACACATTATTTTAGGTTATTTATTAACTACTTATTATTTATTAATTATTTAATAATTTAATAACTATTAAAATTAAAATTAATAATAAATAATAAATAATTGATTAATTATTTATTATTAATTATTTAATAATTTATTAACTAATTATTATAATTAACTACTAATTATTAAATATTAATTAATTAAAAAGTTAAATTATTTTGTTTAAAAATAATTTTGAAAAGTTCTTTATATAAAAGATGTAATAGACAATTTTAAAAGTACCAAAACTATAGGATAGTAAAAGTAATTTCTTTATTGTCTTTTGTGTCACTGTAGCTACATATGAAGAAATTATTGTTCATGGTTTACAAGCGCTTCGTGAATGTCTGCCCAACGAACAAGAACTGAATAACAAGGTGGGAACTTTTATTTCTAATTTGTTTTTAATTAATTGGTTTTAGCAAAAAGTATAATATAGTTAACTTTAAAAATCAAATAATATTTTTTGTTGTGGGTTGTTAATTGATTTCTTTTAACAAATTTACTAGAACTGCACTGTTGCAATTGTTGGGAAAGATAAACCACTCACTATACTTGACAATGATGATATTGTTCCATTTGTATCCTTCTTGATTTATTTTTATTTATAATTTTTTATATGAAATCTTTATTTAAAAGTATTAATGCTTTTAGTTTAAATCTTGAATACAAGAAGAAATAAATTGTTGAAGGTTCAAAGGAAAGTTGAGTTACAAAATATAAGCAAAATTATGAAATAAAATGTTGCAAAAGCATGAAATACGCATAAATTACTAAGAAATATGCATAAATTACTAAGAAAACTCTTTTATTTAGATACAATTAATAAATAAAAAGCTGAAAGTGTTGAATTTAAAAATTAAAAAACTTAAACCTTTTTTGATGCTTTATGGTGACAGCTGGATTTATGGTGACAGCTGTTTATTGAGATTTTTTATGTTTTTAAAATTATTTTTATATTGAAATTATATTCTTATTTTTATGTTTCATATATTCTTTATTCTTAAATTTTTATTTTTTTGTTTTTTTATATTATTCATATCAAAGTAAAATATATAGGGCATTTCCATTTCTGTGCATGATTTTTTTTATTTTTTTTAATTTTTACAATTAGAAGCTAGGACTTATAGCAATATGCATACTATTATGAATTTCTTAAAGAACAATTATAACAAAAACATTTTTTTGTATATTTTGTATATTGTATAGGCTACCTGATTATTTAAATTTTTTATTATTATTTAGTTAATAGACAAAACATATATAAATTTCCATGTATGATTATTTAAAAATGCCATGTATATATTACTATTATTATTATTGTTACATTATTTTGTATATTTAAATCATTAGCCTTAATGTTAAATATTTAGCTAGCTTTGATTGATCAAACTAAAAAAACTAAAAAGTCTGAGGTAACTTTTTTTTCAAAACTTTACTAATTTAGTGTGTTTTTTTTTTAATAATTAAAATTTTATATTTTGTTACTTTTCCAGGAAGATGAAGATACACCTATGGAGCCACAAAGTGCAGCTGATGTAATTTATTTTGAAAATTTTTTTGTTTATGTTATTTAGATTTTCTTAAAAATTAAGACAACACAAATCCAGAAAAACTAGAGCATTTATAATAGCGATGTTGTGATTGCAAAACATGTTTCAAAGCAGTTCAACTATAATGAGATGTAACCTGATAATAAGGTGTCTTCTTGATATTCAAGATATGCTACTATCAACACTTCATTGGCTAATGAAAGAAGTTTTTTTGTCTTTAAAAAATACAATATGTAAAAAATTGAAACACATACTTACGTAATTAACCCTTGGAGTGTTTGATAAAAATCAAACGCTGTTCAGAAAAATTCAACTGAAAAAAAATTCGGAAAAAATCATAATGAAAAAAACCAATAAGAAAACAGCTATTTTTGAACATTTTTTTTTATATGCTATATAAGATTAAAAGCAGTTTAATGATTTTCTAATTATATAACAACAACTGTTGGGTGATAATTAAAAAAACAGGCTGGACACAGTCCACCACATAACTGACACTGCCAAATTGTGTGGACTTGAGTTGAACTATTATGTTTAAGCAGATGGTGGCTTATCATTTTTTAAAATTTTAACTGCAAGCCGCATTATAATTTGTTTGTTATTAAAGTTTAATTCTTTCTTTACATAATCAAGAATAAATAAGAGCCATTTAGTGTAATTATCAAAAGTTATCACTTAATGAAGTTAAAAAATCTTGAGTAATCCTTAATGAAAAAAAATTCTTTAAATTTAGTTCTAAAATAAAACATTGTTTACATTGTAGAATTTAACAGTATTAAGTTTAGTAGTTACTAAAGTCTTTATTTTAAAAAACATCTATATATACATTAAATAAGTTTTGTTTTGGACTGTTTTAGTTTTAGTTTACTTTTTATAAAAATAATGGTTTTAAAGACTTTGCATTTGTTATTGTTCAATGATGCGTGTTAAAAACTTATCAATTTGAAAAGTTCATTTGTTTAGCTTCTAATGATATATAGTTTATTATGCTTTTAAAAAGATTTACTATTTGAATTTCGATTAGTTGTAAATGTTATGCCATCCAAATTTTATTTGAAAAAATGTGCAGTCACAGCGAAAAGTTTTTTTGTTAAAACAGCTGGTAGCAAATAAGTTATATAATAAATAACTATTTAAAATTGCCTCACTAAATAGAAAAAAAAACAACTTTTGTTGTTTTACCTTCTGACAAGTACACATAGAGCTCTGCATCATTCAAATCTACATTGCCCATGATTTTATCATAAAGGGCAACATTATTTGGTTTCATAACCATATTTCTTTTTCTGTTACGCATTTCAGTGCCTGCTTTGGCAACAGTAGATAGTATTATAGGTTTTTTTTAACCATCTTGGTATTTTTTTACTATATTGGACCTTTTTTTATTTTGGCAAACCTTGTTTTTTAATTTTGTTTTAATCCAAATTTCTGGTAGGCATTTCCTGTTGACTCTCACTGTGCCTATTACAGTGGTCTGATGAGCACTATAATCTAATAACAGGTGAGGAGAAGTATAATAATTGTCTAGCTATGTGATGACCTTGCTGGAGGAAATTAGTTTGGCCAAAAGACAAAAAAATAAACTATAAGTCATACCATAGGCAATGGCTGCTACATCTGGGTCTTTTTCTCCCTTATAAATTTCAAATTGACATAAATAACCATTGGTGCTGACTGAAACATGCCATAATTTAATCCCAAATTGACAATGACTTTTGTTTGGCATATATTGATGCAGATGTGGTGTATATGTGGTGTCTTTCCTTTGTAGCCAACCTTACTGTCATCTATAGAAATGTCTCTGTGGATAATAATAATGAATAGTTTGTTGTTAAAATGTTTGTTGTTAAACTAAAAACTGAATTTTATAAATCTTATTAAGTGGTTGTTGATTTGGCATATGAATGACTGTAAAATAAAAAAATTTAGGCAAAATTTGGAGTGGGTCACAATTGAAGTGGGTAACTAAACAGTGAGTAGATACACAAGATTGACTTATATCCCAGAGCAGTTTAAGCTTAGCTTTTTTGATGAGATCCATGTTGATTACAATTCCAAGGAAAACTCTTATCTCTAAAAGATTGGTCTCTCCCTGTTTTATTCATCCTTGATGTTAGGTGAGACCTCAAATGTTGTTGATTAATTATTAGTAAAAGTAACTATATTTTGCAAAAATTCAAGTGTAAAAAACAAGTCAAGATAGTCAATAGGTTTAGACTCCCGTTAAGTTGAGTATTGCATCCTGATTGAATGAACAACATCAGGATTTGATCCTATTCATCTAAAACATTACCACCAACATCATCATTATCAAAATTCCCATCATTTAAAGTCTACATAAAAGTTAAAATAACTCAAATTATCATACTAAGTTTTAATACCAAATACAGTGAACTCCCGATATCTCAAACCTCCAAGGGTCCTAGAAAATAGTTTGAGTTAGCGAATGTTCAAGTTATCAGAACATTCTATTACACAAACTTTTGCCAATAAGCTAAAACAATTTGAGTTATCAAAAGTTTTGATATCAAAGCTAAAAACAATACATTATAAATTTAAAAAAATTCTAATGTCACTCTGTCTTAGTTTTGAAGTAATTGAGACTGCATTGAGCTTTTGTTGAAAGTCTTCACTTGTAAGACTGAAGGTCATATAGTCATACAACACTTATAGTGCTTCCTAAATATCACTAACTTTTAGGTAAAGTGGATTGATAGCATTATCATTATCTTCCTTATCATTAACATCATGTTCATTT